TGATAGAACATTTGAGTGTCTGTGTAAGAAAGAGACAGAGACCTAAAGAAACACTGAGACAGAGATGTGGAGAGAGAGACAGGGAATGAGAGACAGTGAGGATGAGAGAAATAGAGATAGAGAATAACACACAGAGAGAAGGAATTAGAAACAAAGAGACAGAGGAAAAAATGACTGGCAGACACACATGGTCTCCCATTATGGCCCAGCCTAGCTTAGAACTAGCTATATAGTCCAGGCTGGTCTCGAACTCATAATCCTCCTGCCTCTGGTTCTTTAGTCTAGATGACTGGCTTTCAGCATCAAGACCAGCTGCATGGCAGTGATGACTCTACAGAACAGGTTAAACAAATCTTGTCTCTCTAAAAATGCTGAAAGTACTGCAAAGGATGAAGAAGTCCACATGCATAAAATACAGGCCCCACGGAGACAGAGCTCACTTTGTACCTCTTGCAGAGAAATGTGGGTGCTCCAGCAGCTTGTGAGACAAGGCCACCGGGAAACTGTGTGTCTATTCACCATGTTCAAAAAGTATCTACCAAAATGAAATGGATGGTCTTCAGGGATGGCACCTGCTTCCTCATGGAACAAATAAAAGCCTTGACTTTAGGGATTGAGGGATTCCCAAATAATACTGCTTTCTGGCTGTCATTGGCAAAAGATGTGTGGGAGGAATATGGATGTTTAGACGGGGAGGATCATGGGGCAACTTCACAGGGTGAGAGCAGCTCTTTACAGGTTTCTTAATTCTACCTGCAGCCTCCCCCGCCCAGCCCTCCTGTTTAGCTCCCCCAGTTTCCTCCACTCCTGTCTCTGCTTGTTCTGGGAAACCATATTTCTCCCCATCCCCCTTGTCCTGCTGCCCACACTGCTCCAGGGTGTCTCTTGCCACCTTCACCAACACTGCCTCACCAACACTTTCAAACTCAAGGACAGGAGTGGTGGCTCTGTGGTTTTCTTCAAGGGCTGAGGTTTATGGATGCTAGCAGTTGTCAGTTGGCCTTTGTAGGAGGCATGAAGGTAGAGCTTACCATTGTGTCTAACCATGCAACAGCTCACTGAAGTCCAAAATGTATCTGGGTGATGTCTCCATGGTTTCATATGTGAGATGGAAGTGACTCCAAAAATGAAAACACTATAGAATATATGATTTGTGGCACCCTCCATTCCAGCCTGGCAAATCCCAGGATCTCATGCCTTTTTGTTAGTGACAGGCTTGCTTCAGTTCTCAAAATAATCTACCTACTTCCAGACAAGCCTGGTCTGGTCACTTATCATGACCTAATTCCAACCCAAACTGGAAGAAAACAACCTATAATATTTGCTGGAGGGGAAGATTTTTCCCCCTTCCCCTCCCTTCCTTAAAATCCTGCCCAGGCTAAAGAGCCACAGGCAAGGTCCACTGTTTGTTCTTTGTGGTCTTACTGTGTTTCTGCTTCCTTTCAGTGAACCCAGCACTGTACATGGTAGTTGCCATTCATTGGTTAAAACTGGATTCTCCCAGGGAGGTAACTTTATCAATAGACACCTTATGAAAAAGTTAGATACTAGTTCTGAGGATGTGGAGGAAGCCCTGGGCAGAGATGGGAGACAGGGGATTCTTGTAAACAATTATGAAGCAGGGGAAATAGCTTGTGGGTAGGAGGAGTGCTTACTGCATAAGCACCAAGACCTGGATTGAGACCCCAGCACCCTGATGTAAAGTCCAGCATGATCACAGGCACACAGAATCCCAGCCCTGTGGGAAACAGAGACAGGAGGATGAAGGGCTCACTGACCACCAGCCTAGCTCCAGCCTCAGCAGAAGACCTGTGTCAAAGGAATAAAGCAAAGAGACTGATAAAGCAGGGTACCCAGTATCCCTCTTCAGCCTGTGTGTGTGCTCACAGTTACCTGAACACACACCACTTTCACACAAAGTACAAATTCATTTTGAACAATTTTTTAAAAATTTGTGCGCATTTGTGTGAATACATGTGTGCTATAAGTGCGCTGAAGGCCTGAAGAGGACAAGAGATGTTTGGGAGCCCCTGGAGCTGGACTGACAAATAGTTGTGAGCCCACCTGATGTGCGTGCTGGGAACCCCTTCTCAAGAACGGTATGCACTCTTAACTGTCCAGTCATCTCTCCAGTCCCTATTGACACATTCTTAAAGAACTTGTTGACATGTCGTAACCAATGGAGACCATGGTAATAAGGAAAGAAGCCTGGAATCTTCTAGCAAAACTCTGGATATTTGTAGGTGTTATTATCATGGTCACGATCTACTTTGGCCAAACTGAAGTTGTTACAAAGCTGATATTTACCCTGAAAGGACAAAACGAGAATTTATAATTATTTAGATCTTCTGTGGCTGGGTGCTGTCAGAGGTACAGTGAGTGCCTAGCAAGACTGAGAGCAGGGGCTCCATCTCCAGTATCACTCAAAAAAGAATTAGAGGGCTGGAGAGATGGCTCAACGATTAAGAGCACTGGCTGCTTTTTTAGAGGTCCTGAGTTCAATTCTCAGCAACCATATGTTGCCTCACAACCATCCGTAATGAGTTCTGGCGCCGTCTTCTGGCCTGCAGGTATACATTCAGGCAGAACCCTGTATACATAATAAATAAATAAATCTTTAAAAAAAGAATTAGAATATTTTCCCTTTTATAAGGGACTTGGTTTTGTACAACTGCTCTTCCAGTTCAGAATCTAGACTGAAGTCAGCCATTTTGCACACCAGAAAGATAACAAGTTTGCTACAAGCAACTCTCCCAGGTTTCTGTTTCTAGAACCAAACCTCCTTTTAGAATAATGTTGCAAAATGTTCAAAGACCCTTTCTACCAAACATTCTGTTAAATCACAGGGGTCAAGCCACCCGTGTTCAGACTTCTAGGTAGGCATGTTCCAACTGTGTGTGCTACCTACAAGGAGCCATGTAGGAACTTTGTGATCGGAACCCTAATTTTGCTGACACTTGGCATTGGGCCCTGCTAATCTTGGATGCTACCCCACAGTGCCTAAGTCTAAGCCCCTTACTAAGTCTAATGGGCACTTCTCAATCCTCACCTCTCTCTACTTGCCAGTGTCTGACCTCACCATTGCCTACCTTAATGTTCTCACATATTATTGCTCCTCCGAGGTTTGACTGATGAAGTTCTGCTCCTTACATCCCTCGTATGCATTCCTTGTTTTCTGGATAACAGTGAAACACACAGCAGCTATGGCTGATCCGTAAATAACTTCTATCCCTAATAACACCACAGTACCGCTGGCCTCCACACCCATGGCATCTGCCTCCAAGGATTCAACCAACCGCAAGGGGAAAAAATAGGTGATTGATTGATTGATTTTGTTTGGAGAGGGGGTTGGTTGGTTGCTTTTCTTGATGCTAAGACTAGATTTCCCTATGTAGCCCAGGCTGGTCTCTAACTTGTGATCTGCCTGCTTCTGCCTCTTCAGGTGAGTGCAGTCATTTTATACTATCTGCAGATATATACCACCTGAGGGTGCAGATATGTACCACTATCTCTGGCTCTTGAAAATAGCTGTATTTTTCAATTGCACCTGTGCAGACTTGGTCTTTTCCTTCCCTGCTCTGTTATAGAGTAAAGCAGCTATTTACATTGTGTTTGGTATGTGTGAAGGTTCCTACAAACATCTTTTATAAGGGGCTGGAGCATCTGTGGATTTGGGGATATTGAGCTCCTGAAACTTACCCCCTGAGGATACTGAGAGACAACTGTCTTTCTCTCCAAGACCTAGTTCTAGGGCCTTTCCCCCAGAACTTTCAGGATAAATATCAGCCTGTAGGAAGTATTCAGAAAGATTTTATAGACATGGTGGGAGGGGGGTTTCATATGGAATGGCAGGCAAGGTCAGTGGTACAGGTGGTTAAAGAATTTATCAAAGGTACAAAGGACAGAGGGGATTAGTTGAAATACACTACAAATAAGCTGCAGGTCACTCCCAGGAGGCTGAGAGGGAATAGACTGTCATCGGAGTTATGGAGAAATTCCTTATTGTAGGGCCCTTTATATGGGGTTCAAATCTAGTGGACATTTCATTATCTTGTAGAGCAATAAATTTTACAACATGCATTTTATTTCCCCTTGAGACTAATCTTATTCAGGCACATTGGATCATGAGAATGAGGCTCCTGTGTAAGACATGTAGGTCACTAAGATGAGGTCCCAAGTAGTCATGCCTTGATGTTGAAGTGTGGAGATTTTGATCTTGTTTTGGGTCTTTTCCCTTGGTGTGTAGATGTATGTATGTGGGAGGGTTAGTCATCTCATTGGAGAAAAGTCCATGTGGACTGTCTATCTATGGCTTCTTGCTTGACTCTGCTCTTCTGGAAGAGCTGATTTTGATAGTTTTCTAGAATATTCTATGAAGCCTGATTTCTACTATTGCCTTGATTTCCACTAAACAACCTGCTTCCTTAAACGCCCTGTTTCCTTATTATTTTTCCTTCAATGGGTTACTTCCCTTCCTGTTTCATAGAACTGTTTGCACCCGTATTCCAAGGAATTCAGGAGCCACAGTTTTCTCCGATGAGATGGTTAAAGGCAGAATTTTGAGGTTTCTCTGTGGTCTTGCTGTTTTGCTTTTGGGGAAGCATTGAGAAAGGAAGACTGGATCCAGGGCCTTATACTTTGTTAACTAAGCCACACCCTAAACTCTTCAGGCAGCCTGTCTTTACTTAGACAAGTCAGAATATTGGGGGGTGGGGATAGAAATCCCACTTTCAGCAATGTGCCAGTGACCAGCTGTAAAGTATTCTGTCTTTCCTATGGAACAAAGTGAGTAGGAGTTACATGCTCTTCATTAATACCTTGCCTTTGTTCATTTAGCAGCTTGGCCCAAATGATCATATGGTTGGAGCAGTCTGTACTTATACATGGTTGTGAAGCAAGTTTAGTGTACATAAAAGTTCATTTAACCCCTTCATGTCTCATAAAATAGTCTTAATTTGATAGAGACACAGTTGAAACAGGGTCTCCCTTTAGGACCTAGGGCTCATGGGTTAGACTAGGCTAGGTTACAGTTGAGCCCTAAGGATCTGCCAACTTATTATTTGTTGTGCCAACTAAGCCTGCTATTTTATAATCTGACGCATTAAGGTGCTCACCCTTGACTAAAATGGTAGAATTTGGTTTCCATGGTGTGTGTGTGTGTGTGTGTGTGTGTGTGTGTGTGTGTGTTCCATGAGACTTATCACCAGCAATGAGGTTAGGAAATAGTAGGCTAAGAACAAAAGATCCACTGTTCTTTCCTAGCCAAGACTTCCTTGAGGGCAGGTAAAGGCAGCGAGGGTCAAGGTGATTGCCAGCCCTTATCTTGTCAGATGGGGAAAGACAATGGGGACTTCTGAGCTCTTCAGCTGGGTCAAATTACTACTAGAGTGTAGAGGGGTGCTTGGAGAGATCTGGGCTCAGGTAACTAGGCCAAAGATGTGCCATCCACTGCTAGTAGTTAGACTAGGCATTTGCTCTTTTGTGTCTCTGACTTCGTCATGCCTTGCTTTTGACTCAGCAAACAAATGTCATGCAGGTGGGAGAGAAATGCCCCGGCAGACCCTGGGCTCTGTGAGCAACTTCCAGAGGCCTCATGGGTAATAGCAATGGCCTTTTACTCAGGAGTAGGAGATAGATTTGTCTCCACAGGGAGGTTCAGACTTTCCTGTGGGAGGGATAGAATCAGGTGGGGCAGACCCCAATATAAGAAAGCTGTGGACAGAGTGTCAGGTGTGGTGACATTGGCCTGCAATTGTAGCACACAGGAGCCTGAATCGGGAGGTCAGGAGTTCCTGGTCAGCCTGAGGTACATAGTGAGACCCTGGTTTCAAAAGCCACTCCCCCACATGTGGGTCTACATTCAAAATCCAACCTAGCACTGCTTAATGACCTTCTCCACTGCCACTGTCCCTGAGTCACTAACTCATGACTATGACTTACAAGTTTCTTGGTAGTCTGTTAATGCACACAGGTGTTGGCCAGATGTAGAGCTCTTCTGTCTGTCTTCCCCATGAGAACTCAACCAGCTGGTTAAAGTTTCACAGTACAAGTAGGTTGAGAACAAAGCTAGGGTTCTCAAATCTATGTGTAGCATAAACATAGCTAGTCCAACCCCTACCTTCCAAGTCACCAGGTGTGACAGCCTTGCATGAGTTCTGCCCTAGTGTTAGCTCCGCCTTATGTGATCATCTTGTTCTTTGGGTTGTGTAACAGAAACCTGGTGTAACTCCTCTGAATTAAGGCTGAAGTTCAGGAGTCATATGCCAGGGCCACCGCTGTCTGTGCTGGCTGGGCCCATCTAGGTCAGGTTCCAAGGTCATTCCAATGGGAAGCCCAGGTCTGAGACCCTTTGGTCTATCTCATTCCCCTCAGTACAGCCCCATGGGAAACAAATTGTTCAGCCATTTTGCACACCAGAAAGGGGAAGAAATTGAGCATATGAATGCAAACCTGCATCTGGAGGCTCACAACCATTTGTAATTTCAGTTCCAGGGCATTTGAGCCTCCAGCCTCCGCTGGCATCTGCACTCACATGCACGTACCCACATGCCAATATGCAGTCCTACACCTAATTAAAAACAACAAAAATAGGCTGGGCATCGGGGTGCATGACTCAGGAGGCAGAGGCAGGCAGAGTGAGTTTGAGGCCAACCTGGTCTACAAAGCAAGTTCCAGGACAGCCAGGACTACATAGAGAGACCCTGTCTTGGAAAATAAATAAATAAATAAATAAATAAATAAATAAATAAATAAATGGGGCTGGAGAGATGGTTCAGCAGTTAAGAGCACTGACTGCTCTTCCAGAGGATCCGGGCTCAATTCCCAGCACCCACATGGTGACTCACAACTGTCTGTAACTCCAGTTCCAGGACTTTTGACACCCTCACACAGACATACATGAAGGCAAAGCACCAATGCACATAAAATAAAAATAGATTATTAAAAAGTGTAGAAAAGTCCCTGGCTGGTGGTGGTGGCACATGCCTTTAATCCCAGCACTCAGGGAGGCAAAGGCAGTCTCTCTGAGTTCGAGACCAGCCTGGTCTACAGAGTGAGTGTCAGGACAGCCTCCAAAACCATAGAGCAACCCTGCCTCCTGAGAAAAGTCTCTCTCTCTCTCTCTCTCTCTCTCTCTCTCTCTCTCTCTCTCTCTCACACACACACACACACACACACACACACCCTCTCTCACTATGTGTGTGTGTGTGTGTGTGTGTGTGATGTACCACATGCATGCAGTGCCCACAGGTGCCAGAAGAGGGCAGAAGATCCCCCTGGAACTGGAGTTACAGTTGTAAACCACAATGGGGTTGCTGAGAATGAAAACCAGGTTCTCTAAAAGAGAAGCCAGTGCTCTTAACCTGTGAGCCATCTCTCCAGCTCCTTCGAATAAGGTCTTTATGGGTCTGCTCCTAAATGAAAAAAGCCCACAGGCCTGGATTATAGCTCCTTATGTGTTGCTCACCTGCTCTCCACACAGGCTTAACCACTGAGGGTCAATAGCTCACCTGTTACCCAGGTGTCATTATTTTAGGTAATGTCTTTTTTTTTTCTTTTTCAAGATAGGTTTTCTCTATGTTACAGTCCTGGCTGTCCTGGAACTCACTCTATAGACCAGGCTGGCCTCAA